ATTTTGTATGTATTGTGAACGCAACACTGTGCAAATGTGGGTCTGCCTCACACAGGGTGACTGGCTGTCTACATGATGTGGCCTGCCTCACCAAAGTATATCTCAGATCTGTGGGAAACACTGCCTTCTCAACAATTGTTCAGTCTGAGTTTAATATGATCCTAGTCAGGATACACTTTGACTTTTGTAGGGAATTATACATGTTGAATAGAACCACCTGGGAATCCTGGTTATGAAGGTATTTATAGATGAGTTCAAGATTAGCACATTTAAAAAACTAAAACAAATCCTTTCTAAATAAAATAATAAAAAGTATTTATAATACATCTTAATTTACTTCAATTCAGGATACAAAGACAAGATATCACAGATCACTTTAACTTTCTATAAGCCACTGACCTAGGACAAAGGCATTCATGATGACACCAGAGATGGATGTTCCAACCATGAAGCGGAGGGCGATGTAGACGTAGAAATTAGGGGCAAAAGCAGCTCCTACCCCAAAGACAGCCTGGATAGCCAGGTTAAAGAGAATGACAATCCTGCGGCCATACCTGCAACAAGACAACATCCCCCTGAACTCGCTTTTTCCATGTAAACAAAAGGGGAAAACGGTTGTAAAGAATCAGACAGCATGTGATGAAATAAAACCTTTTTAGAAAGTAATGCTGGAGTCAGATCCCATAAAAAAAATAGCAAGGTGTTACTTTATCCATTCGATAGGGCTCTAAAGATTGATATGTGTAAACAAATTTACTTATCAGCTAAGCTCCCGAACACAACAGCTCCAACCAGCAGGCCGAACATGTACACCGAGGAGCCCATGTTGTTCAGGCTGGCATCCTCACACACCAGGTCCCACTGCAAGGAAACACACATACTTGTTTCAGACAGAACATTAGTTATTTTGAACTCCTACGACTGACAATATAATCCTAGAAATTGGTTCCATAGAGGAAATGGAATATTTGAATCCTCTTTTTATCATCACCCACACACAACGCAACATTTAAACTCTGCATTTAAACTTGCTGTGGACGCCTGTTTGAATAGAGCACAGGTGTCTTCTCGGCTGTGTGAAGGAGAGGCTAAATAATGATGGGTTCTAAGGGGCATTTCCTTTTGCATCATTATTATAATAAGATTTCAATTTAAGTTTCCAAGAAGGGGTACATTCTTGACCACATTTGATTTCTGTCCCCAGTAGGATGACCCATTTCTGTTGTGAACATTCTTTGAGCCCAACTTGATGTCAAATATGTCGTCATCTAAAGGGCCTTTACACCACCTCCTCTGATACAGTGTTTGTGTGGAGAAGTTTTTCCGAGTGCTGCCCTCAAAGTTAAAAATATTTCACTCTGACCTTGATTGCTGCTGACCTTTTGATGCACAACCAATCAGATTTCAGCTGTGCTAAGCAGCACAAGCTAGCAGGGAGGGTAACCATAGAAACAAAACTTAACAAGCTTTTTCTCATTGTGAGGAAGAGTGCACAGGGAGCTAAAAGCAAACCATGCATCTTGTGAAGTCAGCATATTAACTATCCAAAACTTTGGGAAAGGTGGTGAAAGGGACTTCCTGAGCCATGGAGTTTTGTATTTGTTGTAATAAATGCACATTACATGGATCGAACAGCATTTGTTCTTGGGGCTGTGCAGATACTTGCTCTGTTGGACAACCATCAGCATTATATTGATATAAGAAGCCAATCCTGGATGGCTGCAGAGCTGCACACATCTTCAAGTGCCACAGTGGAGGACGGCCAACCCCACACGTTGCGTCGGGTGACCCTTCCAATCGCATCACTGAGGGCTGCAGCTGCCCACCCCTCAGATTCATGTCTGACAGAAGATGGGAGGGGGACCGGGTGAGTGGAATGGCCAGAAGATGCATGCACCGCAGGAGTCTATCTCTCAGACTCTCGTTTAACCCTGTCTCAGGTATCACCCCCGCCCACTGAAATAAAACGTCTGAGCCGCTCCACATTCCTTAGATGCATGGAGTCCTCATGGTAAACACATTGTGTGAAAACTTAAATATTCAGTCAAATCAAATCCTGAATTGGAATGCTGCCTGACAAACGGTTTGTTTTTCACTCACCTCAGTTACTATGGTGCTTTGGAAGGTCTCTGTGCTGTAATCCCAGCCCCCCTGGCACTTCTCAGAGGGGTGTCCATCGCCCAGACCTGCATCCCCGCTGAGGTTCAGAGGAACCGTGCACGACAGCTCGGACTGGCCGTAAAGGGAGTACGGACTACTGAAGGTGAAGTTCAAAAAGGCCTGAGGGCCCACTGAGGAATGGCATAAATGCGGAGGAACGGCCCCAGTGAAGACAGAGACCAGCATGTGGAATGCCAGAAAGATTTGAGGTAGACATATCCATATATACAAGGTCTTCTGGAACTTCCCAAAGCCGCCAATAAGGCAGAGAATTTCATCAAAGTTCATTTTCTGGCTTTATGTAGATGTACCCTTATAATGTGCTACTCTGTAATTGATCAAGTCCAAATCCTAAAATGTTGCTGAATAAAAAAAGCAGATGAAAGCAGAGGGCCAAGTGTCAGCCAGATGAATGAAATAAAAGGCTGAAATGATGGTCTTTACCACGCTGATGATTGAAAGGGAAAGGGGCCTCCTTCAGATGCAGTCACAGATGTGTTGTGCTCCAGTGTAAGGGCAACCTGTGGCTATATGCAATGAACTGTGCTGCATTCTGAAAGTTACTCAACCTCTGTGGGAGTGATGGGAGTGGGCTAAGGCAGGGGGGAGGGGTTCTTCTCTGTGGGAGGGGCTGCCTTCTGGTTGAGCATGGCTCAGCTGCTGCTCTCACATAACAACACAAAACCATTCACAAAACTGGAACAGAGCTCCCAGGGAAATGTGAGAAGACTAATGTTTGGCATTCTTCAATGAGGTGTAGGGCTCCAGTATTCAAGTTGCATAGTGTGAAGAGTCAACAGATTATATTCTATTTAAGGGTTTATACTTTCAAAGCCAATACACATAAAAAAAAGTTTATGAACAATTTCAAAAATACTGTTCACTTTGTGCCAAGGTATTGCCAGTCTCACAAAAAAACGTGTAATAACTACGTTGGTCCACAACGTAGGACGTAGTATTTCTACAAAAACGCCTCTGAAATTGTATGATCCCTACGTTTTTCCCCACAATTC